CTGCTGAACGCAGAATATTAATTTCGGACGAATAAAGGAAGAAGCGTCTGCCGAAGACAAAACTTAGTTCGTTTATTAACGGTGTTAGTTAACAGACCCAGATTTCTTCTAAACAGACTCTTGGTATTTTCGAAATTTATTAACAGAGAAAGATTTAAAACAATTTAACTGAAAAAACTTTTATTACTATTACGAGCGGAAGTGGCCCAACAATAGACAGTACTTAAAGACTAAATCGTTTAAAAAGAAAACAATAGCATGGTATAAAAAATTTAATCCATACTTTAAATTTAATTTTATAAAAACGTATTCAGGCACAATTTTTCATATTATTCAGATTTCTTAATTGTTCATAATTAAATTTGTTTGAAAATCATATTTTATTCTTCATAAAATATTTCGCTCAAGCAAAGTATTTACCCGATAACGAGTTGCTTTAATAACGTTGTTTTAACTTTGTTTATTTGGCAAATAAAAAAGGTTTTTTTTCAAAAAATATTTTTTTTGCAGTAATATTCTTTTAGAATACGATGCTCAGTGCATTGTGTATGCATTTTTCTAGACAATTATAGCTTATACTTTTATATAGGGCACCAGGGGTCTGTTTAGAACAGAGGTTCCCAAACTTTTTTTTCTCGTGGACCACTTTCAAAGTTTTACTATTTTCAGTAGACCCCTTGCTGCGACATTTCTACTGTATTCCCGAAACTTCTAAAAAATATCACCCTAGATCGGGAATGTTAAGAAGAAAAAAAAAGTAGCACATTTTCTTGTGTCCTAATTATTAAAATAATACCTCGTAATTACTGAATATAATAATTACTAAAACAATAATCGATTCACTCACAGTCACACTTATATGTTCAAAATCCCGGAAACAAATGAGTAACGTTTTGTTCTAGGCATTCGTATTTATACTAATGCAGATTGCAAGCACAGCGCAAGTTGCATTTCATCCCTTTGCAGGTCTAAACAAGCATCGCGGGCGCACGGGCGGCACTTTGCAAGTCTTGACATGTGGTGTACCCTTGTACTATTATCTATTGTTCTATTCAATTCTGTGTTTGAACTGAGTCTCGAATACTTTTGAGTACCTACCTTGTGAATGATGCTAACTGTCTACGTTGATGGGTAAATCCAAGCCAAAATTTTTGTTCTTTATTATGAAAACCAAAAAATATTTCGTGGACCCCCACTTACAACTTGTGAACCCCTGTTTTCTTTTCACGTCTACGTGGACCCCCGTGTGATCTCCTATGGACCCCTGGGGGTCCACCTGGACCACTTTGGGAACCTATGGTTTAGAAGAAATTTGGGTCCGTTAACGGACTCTTCACAAAATATCTTTTCATAAAAACTGGCCCTTCACAAAATATTTTAACTTAAAAACGGACCCTTCACAAAATGATTTTTCTTTTAATCGGACCCTTCACAAATTTGTTTATCTTCATTATTATTTTGTTAATCGAATAAATCCTTTCCAGGGCAGAAAACAAGAAAGATGGATATAAACAAATTAAGTTTTGTCGTCGGCAGACGATTCTTCCATTATTCGTCCGAAATGAATATTCTGCGTTCAGCAGTATAGGTTAAATACTTTCAAAAATCGT